AACAATCTTTGTAAAAAATGAGCTTGGGGCTCAGGGCAAAAAAAAAATATATAGAAAGACACTTCTAGGGGATGGTCCCACAAAAGTCGGTAGACTTTGAGGGCTCCGGAAGAAGCTGTGACCAGAGGAAAGGATGATAAAGAAGGAAAGAGAAATCTGCAGCAATAGTGATATCCTGGGGCCACTGCCCAGCTGAGGTCCCTTGCCAGTCTTCTGCATGCAGAAACCTGCCTGCGTTTGTGGGGAGATGGGCATCAGAGCTCCCCAGGCTGCTGACCCTTTTAAGCACACGGGGGCTTCCCATCCTCATACCCACCCCATCATGTGCTGCAAGGCCAGGTGTCCCCAATTCCACGACTGGCAGCTTGTTTCTGAAGCCACAGGTTCAAAAAGTATGTCATCCCATAAGGACTGCAGGAGCTCAGTGCACAGCTAGGGCCACACACCAACTGTTTTTGTCAAGAGTCAGGGTTTGTTTTCCACAACAGAAGTATGTGGAAAACGTCTGTTTGGGACCGAAACTCGGGGTTCATGTCCAAAGGATGATCTTTTACATAAACACTTCCATAAACCCCTGTGTATTAAGCAAACCATATCCTTTTACCTTAGGAATCTAACTGACCTCTTCTGCGAGAACTTTTCCTAAGGGCATCCAACAAAGACATTTGAAAAATCCAAAACCGAGTTTTTAGCAAGTTTAGGAAATAGTCTTCTGCTTCCACAGTGCCCAAAGTAGTCAAAGCTGGAGTCCACTGCTGCTTGAGAATCTTGTCCAAGGAAACGTTTGAGAACACTGGCATGCTGGAAGCCTGAGGAGCTGGGGCGGTGACATGGAAGGCTGGTGTGGGGGGGGCAGGGGGCGGAGTTGAGATGGCAGCTCCATCCTACAGCCTCTGGAAACCCCCAGCCCTTGCCTGCCTGCCCGGGGAGCACTGGTTGGAGAGCTCATCTGGGAATTTAATTTGGCTAACAGAGGAGCCATCAAGAGCAGCCCCTAGGAGAAGCATGGAGCCTTCCAGACTGTGCTATCCAACTCTGGCAATCCTCTGACACTGGCCACAGCTCCCGAGCACGCTTGTGCCACAGAGGGAGAAGGGGGAGGGAGGGAGGAAGAACAGACAAATCATTCTGAGACTGAACTTGTCATAGTGAAGAGACTGTAATAAACTACTAGGGGCCTCACTATGCTGGCCTGTTTGCATATAAACTTACTCGGTTCTTTACTTGTTCCAATCTTCCTCATGTGCAAGACCCTCCCCCTGGCTCCCCAAGTTTAACATGACAACCAAGTGTGTGGTGGCCACTGACAGAGGACTATGAGCAGCACACATGTGGACAGGACGTACATGTCTGTGCAGACACGTAGAGAGCCACGCAGCAGCGCACGCACACCGGTTGGGACAGGGCTGCTGCACACCCTCCCTGGTCCCAGTTTAGTGCACCCTCAAGCCTGAGGTTCTCAACTCCAACCCTACCCCCACCCCAGAATAGAGGTATTCGCTTATCAGAACTCCACCCCCACCCCCCAAAGCATGCTAGTTTCCTTTTGGGTAAAGTAATTACCCAAGCTTCTTAAGTTACTGGTATATACCAGGAGCTGGCAAGTTATCTCATTATCGATAAACACCTACATCGTTGTAGAAAACTCTATTTTAAAATATCAGATGGTTCAGCCTGGTCAATTACACTGGCTCCATGAAGGAATGGTCTGTAAGCTTTGCTATATGAGGTCACTGCAGACCCCTTCTCCAGGGACTTCTATGGAACCTGGACCCCAATCTGCCTTTGAGAGAAAAGGTGGATAGGAACAGTGTTCTTGCCGACCACATAACATTTTCCTATAGTATAAAAGAGCAAGTTATTCTGGTCCGCTGACAGGTTAATGTCCACCTTTAATGACTTGATATATGTCTACAGAGGCTAAATATAGGCCCTAATCTCAGAGAACAGAAACGGCAGCAGCTTTCAGTGGTCAGGTACACACGGTGTTACCAGGGCAAGTGAGGAGAAGCCCAACCCCACAACATGGCCAGTAATAGAGTTATGACTAACAATATTCTCAAACTCCAAAGCCACTAATTTTGGTACATTTCCCCAATATTTAACCACCTGTGCAATTGTCATCTGTGGCCAGTGACTCATGCAGTCATCTTAGTGGTCTTTCTGCCATAACATATCTTGGAGAAAACCTACAAAATGGGTGCTGCAGTGTGATCGGTGTGTAATTGAGACCATTTAGTTCTATCACCTTTTGAAATTCTCCAGACTGAAGTAACTGGGAAATTCTCCACGGTGTAGAATTTTGGGACTTGAACTACCAACACATCGGCACATCTCAAATTTCTTATTAGGGAAAGTCAGTGTCCCCTTAAATACTTCCCATTCAGAACGGAAAATGCCAGACTAACTCAGCTGTTGTGGATCTGCAGTTCCCAACAAATCAGAACAGAACAGATCCATTCCAGGTACCTGTCGGAAAATACACCTGGACTCCACTGCTCCTCCAAACTTTTATCCAAAACTTGAAAATAAAATGAATGAAGGAGTACACTGAAGGTCATGCCATCTCTCCAGACTTTAGTTATTCAAATCCACTCCCGGATTAAGCCACTCTCTCAGGGAATGACATACCTGCATCAAGAATTTCAGGTCCCAGAAGACTGGCATTAATTGCACTACATTTGAAAATGACATTGGCTCTTGTTTGCCATATAATTATGTAACAAAGTCCCATTGTGCCCCTATTCTGTACTCCAATAATATTTACAAATACTTGGGGGGGGGGAGAACGGGCAAACACCAAGGGACATCACAAGCAACAGCTTCCATATACGAGAATGTTTGCGGAACTGAATGTGATTATATAATCAAGAAGTTGGGATAAAAAGTAAGCAGGCATTAGCCCTCCTACAGGAATCTTCCAGTACACACTGTTGCTACCATCTTTGCAAATGTCTTTTGACCAAGCCTGAGTGTGGCAGTGAGTACATAGTGATTTGAAATGTATCATTAATCAGATCTCACTTTTTACTGGTCAGTGAGTCTTAGCAAGGAGGATATTTTGATTACACGTCTCTCTTTAAGTTACATAAAGCAATTGGGTCAATAATTAGACCTTTGCTCTTTCTGACAGGGTCTTAGAAAGAACTAAGCCACTCCTGCTGCTGGAGCAGCTGTGGGGACAGCAACCAGTGAAGATCCAGGACTGCTATGGTGTTCTGACGGATGGAAGCTGGGTGTGGAGGGGGCTGCAGAACCAGAAAGACCTGGACAGGACAGTCCTAGAGAAGGCGTGAGCCAGGTTACAAGAGGGCCTCCTGGGCCTGATACGCTCTGATTTGGAGGCCACCTGGCAAACCAACCTGACTCTATTCCCAAAATAAACTCTATCGATTGACTGACTGATAAATAGATTTTTGCAAAAGTCTCGATAGATATAAATATCACAAAAGTCTACTTAACAGTGAATCATGGAGGCATTCCCATTAACATCACAAACAAGACAAAGATGCCTAATGAAACACCTGTTTTTTGAACATGGTTCTGAAAGATGTAAGACAAGCGGGGAAGGGGCAAGTCACAACAGCCAGAAAATTCAACAAGGATACCATTGGTTACCTATCATATTGGAAAAAATATACATTATTTCCAAAAAGGTAAATGTTCCTGAGAATGGAGGGGAAAGTCGTCTTCTTCCTCTCCGTGTACACAACCAGAGGAGATAAACCAATGCAATTTGGCGTTTGACAACATATACCAAAAGCCATAAAAGCACACATACTCCAACTCAGGAAGCTGATTACGAGGAATTTATCCTGGGGGAACTGACAGAAGCACAGAGATATGAATGGAGAGACACTGATTTAAAGTTACTTACAATAGTGGAAAAAATCAAAGTAAATTGATCTGTGGAATGTCTGTTTTTGAGATGCTGTTGAATTAATTAGGGCACATTTATACAAAGGAATATTATTTAACCATTACAAATGGTGGTGTACAAGTCCATCTGCGGACATGGAGAGACTGTAGGATCTATCATTAGTGAGGGCAGCGGGCTGCAGGCAGTGTGCTCAAGGTGCCCACACACTGTGCAAGGAAAAGGTGCACACATGCAGAGATGGCTGGGAGTACGCATTCAAATGTTAACAGCCGTGTTATTGAGGTGGTGTTTGGGGAGTGACTTTCCTCAACATGCTTATTTCTAACTTCTTGTCAACAGCTGAGCAACTTTAAAAAAGCAATTCAAAATTTTAAAAAGTAATAGCTTGACACAGTGATATAACTGAATGACCAACGAACACTCTATATTCTAATCTACACATTTCTCTACATCAAGTGACAGTCATGAGATGGACCGCTACAGAATTATGATCAATACTCCAACTTTAAATTTTGTCAAGGCTTGCCGAAAGAACTACTTGTGGGTAGAATATCTGCATTTTCCCAGGAACAAAATTAATTTTGTTTTTTGATCTATCTTATATAAACCACCAATATAACAAATTTTGTTAGCAATAGAGAGTTTCTCTTGCCTTGTGAACTGGCACGTGTTCTTATCTGACAACCGAAACTGAGTCACAGATTGCACCTGACCTCCTGTTTTTGTTCTCAGTTGTTCAGAGCTGAATCCCTGGTTCAAATGTAATTATTTCCTCTATTCTAGATTTTGAGGTAGATGCATTCTTTTCTCCTTTTTCTTTCACTACTTGCTCCTGTCTTTTTACTCTCATTTAAAATTTTACTTCATCTGTGCCTTTTAGTGTAATTCTTTGTAGAATTAGAGAGACACGGATTGACTGTCAGGGAGGGGGAGACAGAGAAAGACGTATGGTGTAACAGAGTGTGAAGGACAGTATTATCTATCTCATGACTGAGCAGGAGACCAGGTACTACTTTAACTTCGGAGACAAGAGGCTGGGCTGCTGTCAGGCCCGCCCCCAGCTGCCCCGTGTTTAGCTGAGGCCTGCACCTGCTAACTGCTCCACAGGAGCCATACTCACATGTAAACTTGGATGATAGGTCAGCACGCCATTGTCACACAGGGTGACGTATTTCTTTTTCCACTCTTTATTCAATGATTTGCCACTTCGCTTCAACAGCATGCCCTACAAAGAAAAAAGAGCCAAATATAGTCTTGTGTAAATAAAAAAGAAAAAGTAGGTACATAGGTAAGTTTTACATTTTTAAACTTTCCTTATATCTTTGCCACCTTAAAAAGGAAATTACTTTTAAATTGTTAATTTGGTTTTCTCCTCCCTTTTATATACAACATATGTGTGTGTGTAACTTAACTTTGTGATACTGGTGAACACTAAAAATGTGCCATTAGTTCAACAGATACAAGTACAATACAAAATATCATTATGTGCTAATTCATACCTTTCAAATAACTAAGTTATAAGTACACAGGAAATGTCTAAAGGTAGAATGTTTTAAAGAAGGAAACCTAAATTTCCTTTTCTAAAAATAACACTAACTATTATCACCTTATGATATAAATAAGTATATTTTATTTTACAGTTTGTTTCATTTGAGATTTTAAATTTATTACGATGGAAATTCCTTTTACACACTTTAGTAACAGTAGTTCATAGATGAGTCATGTATAATGTACTTTACTCCATTTTAAATGAAACCACATTAGGGCTTCTTGAAAACCATTCAGAATTTGGAACCAACACACTCCCCCCCCTCCCTTTTTTTGGTCTTTTTTACTGACCGGTAATGGGATCGCAACCCTCGGTGTCGCGCCCGTACCGGGGACCGGCAACGGAATTGCAACCCTCGGTGTTGCACCCGCACCGCACTCAGCCAGTGAGCGGGAACCGGTCTCCACATGGGATCCGAACCCTTGGTGGCAGCGCCACTGTGCTCCCAAGCAGCGCACTCTCCAGTACGCCACAGGGCCGGCCCGGAACCAACACACTTTGAAGCCATGTTTAATCCAGTCTCTCGTAAACGGCTGGTGAGAATTTATTCTTGCTTTAACTACCAACTCCCAGCAAGCCCCCCGCCTCGTTTACAGGCTCTCCTGGGCTAACAAAGCACGACTTTGACCCTCAGCTCTGTCTTTCCCAGTCCAGGGCTTCCCACCATCCTAGCTCAGTCCATTTCACCTCAAGCTGTCACATAAGGATTCTTTGTCCTCCTCCCTACTGCCATCTTCTAACTCCTGTGCACATAAAATAAGGAACAGGGAAGACTTTCTCTACTTGCTCTTTCTCTTGCAGTCCATTTATAAACTTACATGATCATATGATGATTGGGAACGCATAGGCCTAACGCTAGTTAATTCACCTGGACTGAGGTGGAAGGAAAGCTGCAGGCTCTGAAGTATAATCAGACCCCTTGAAAAGGCAGAGGCACCCATGAGACTGCTTTGTAATTTTTACTGGCCTCCACTGACCACCTAATTCTGCTATCCCTCAAGAATCACAATATGAGAAAAATTAAGAACTTTTATGCAATATAACTGAGTTCAAATTCCAGTTAATGACCACTGTTGTGACAACACTTTTTTATTTATGCAAATCATAACCAAGTTTCACAAATATAATGGATTATGAGCCAGCTTAGGGCTCTGACCCCCATTAAACATTGTTGCTGGGGGAAAATACTTCAAAGTCTGAAAGAACTCACAAAAGAATCTATGCAAGGTAGTTTCTTTGCCAGTTCTTATTAAAGAGAATGTGCCCAAATGCGGCATACCTTGATTTCTTGGAATCTAAACCAATATATAAACCTCTGAGAAAAATGTTACTAAGTTGCACACCAAGGCAACAAGAGCTTCCTTGCATGGTAGGAATTGGTGAGAGGGGGACAGTCACTACTAATGATGCAATAACAAACAAGCAATTGCTTGAAATCATCTAATCTACCCCTCCCCCTCTTGGGATTCCTACGATTTTTAAACTTAGCATTACAAAACCTCACAAAAGTTCTCCTGTGGGCTCACATTTTTCCATCAATCATTTCAGATGGAATTCCAACAATACCAGGGGCTGGGGGTCACTGTCGTGTCACTGGTAGATTAGAGCTACTCTCGCTTTAGAAAGCTGTGTCCCTTCCCACTCAGACACGCACCGGCCACAGCACACACCCCTGGGGCTCCGTGCTGACGGATGGGCACGACTCCTCCGGCTGGCCTATGGGTACTTCTAGGAGCAAATCCTATACTCGTATTTATTCTTCTTCCAATGGAGGCTACAACACTTCAGGAGGCATGTCAAGGGATGACTTCATAGCTTTGGGGGGAACTAAATTAGGCTGATTTATTTTGATGCTAGGAAAACAATGTCTTGGTGAAGGACAGTCCAAATCTTGACAATTTAAAATAAATTCTATGGCTCTCCTTGGAGGATAATCTCACATTACATGTACTATCCAAATGCTGCCAGAGCCAGCGGGCCCGCAGAACACCCTGGATCCTAGCAGCCCCTTGCAGCCTCGGCCCCAGCGGGGTTTACTATTGCCTCCCCTACCCCCCATCACAAGACTGCTGAGGAGACGGTGAGCCACCCGGCCACCCTGGTCACCACCTCACAGCTGCAGCCGGGCCAGGGCAGGTGCCAGAGCACCACCTGCGTTCATGCCTCGCTGAGCTGAGTCATGGTCACTCTAAAGTTCTAGAAGTTCTGGCTCCCTCAGAGACCCTGAGCCACAGAGGTAAAGTAACTTGTTAGCTGATGGGAAGTGGCAGCCATTCTGTCCTCTTCATTCCTGCCACCACACTGGGCACTAAATTCTTCGCTTCCTACTTATGGGCATGGACCTACTCCCCAGGTGGGACCCGCCACTGCCTGACCCAATACCTTCAGTCTAGAGCCACTAGCGCCTCCTTCCAAAGTACAAACCCCAAGAGGAGGGTCGCTCGGGATCCGTCCTGCAGGTACCTCTATAACCTGAGTCCCCTCCCGAGAGGGAAGTGAGAATGCAGAAGTGAGGGCAAGTGGCTCACATTTTACATGCACACAGCACTCCATAGTTTACAGAGGACGTTCTCCAACTCCCAGGAAATTCCGATTCAGTCAAGGTACATGAATGGGCACAGGCTGCAGTTCAGGACTGCCTGGGGAGCTCGCATCTCTTGCTCCCAAATTCCCACTGAAATATAATGCAAGCCTGGACCGAGAGTACAGGAGAGCATCACTCTAAGATGAAAAATTCAAATATATTCCTGAAAACATACTGCATGGCTCCAGAGGAAGGGATTTCTGTTTGCTAAATCCAAGAGCAGCCAGGGAATGCCATGAATGCTGAGAGTCTGAGAGGAAAGGGAGAACATGCTGAGGATTCTGGAAGCAAATCTCAACCCTACTAACAAGTTCCAGGAATGGGGTGACCAGGACTGGTGAACACTGGAGAAGGCCAGACCTGCTTGGTGAGAACACGACAGGGCCACGTGCTGCCATGGTCGGGTCCCTGGGGTCGTGCAACACAGTGACCCTGCAGGGCAAGCTGGCCCCATGTTGCCACATTTTCTGATCATTTAAGAGAAGGAGAAACACTGGACTTGTACGGGATGGATCCTTATATTGAAATATTGGCACAGATTATACATTTTTTGCATGTGTCATATAAACCAAACCTGTGCAGGCCAGCTGCACAGGGCTGCATGATTGAGACCTCTGGCCAAGAGTCGTAGGTGTTGGTTGGCGCGCCCCTCCGAAGGGCCTTAGGATCCAGCAGCAGCCACGTCCGGCTCCCTCAGGAGGAGGGCTCCGTCACACATGCAGCGCAGCCCTGAAATGAACAAGGTCCCCAGGTGATCTGAGCAGACGCTTGAGTTTGAGAATCACTGGGAACTTGACATTTTCTCAGGTACCATACCTGCTCTAGCAGACTTTTCAAAATTTTAAGTTTTAATTTTAATGACCATCTAAAAAGTAATTCAAGAACTGCCACTGGACTTCATTACCAGAGTTGGCATTTATGACCTCATACGGTCACAAGTGGCACTAACAAGGAAAGCACAGAAGGAGATGTGATATGTAAATAATTCCCTTTTGACCAATGAAAGCCCCAGATGATAGCCCTGCATGTTGTACAAAACAGAATGATTCCTCAGTATGAAAGCAGGAAAGGGAGGGAAGCTGAACCGGAGGAGCCTGTGCCGCAGCAGTCAGCGCCAGCTTCGTGCCACAGCAGTAATTTTGTTTCAGCAGAACACCACCATCTCTCACAGTAAACTAATGCTGCTGTTAATTTAAATTTTCTTCTTTTTTAAAAAACTGTTAGTTGTACTTAATTCTTATTTTTGGTTTTACATTTATTTGTGAGCTATAAAAACAGGAAGTTAAAACTTAGTTTTATAACTTGTACGTAATCGTATACTATTATCATGAAAATTTAAGTCAGTGATGGGGGAGGGGCATGAGATTTTTTTGTTCCTTTAAAGGGGCTCTAAATTGCTCCTATCTGGGAAAGACTGGTATACGATAGATATGACTTAGGGATGTGCCTGGGGCAAGAGAGGGGTAGGAAAGATGTGAAGGAGGAGGCAGATATGAGAAATATTTAGGAGGTAAAATGGGGACAAGGTGCTTGGTATGATTCGGGGGCCAGCGGGATGAGTGGGCAGAGGCAGTGTGCATGGCCCCAGGCTTTTGTTGTAGTGGTCCAGGGGTGTCATTGACCAAGCCAGGGAATACACAGGAGATGGCGACCCGGCAGGGAGGCGAGGAGAGAGAAACGAAGACTCCAGCATCAGCCACGCAACACTGGAGGTGCTGGTGGCCCAGGCAGGGATGCCAGCCAGACCTGTGAGGGGACGGAGGCGGGGCCTGGGAGGAGCCACTGGATAGAGGATGAAGCTTAAGGAGAAAAAACGATCACACAAAGTTTAACGCTTAAGGAAAGTGTTATGATCTGCTCACCCGAAACAGAATCAGAATCTCATTTTGAAGAATTTGCTATCGAAGGGTTAGCAAAATCTTTCTGAGATTTATTAAAATATGATGTAATCTTTTAACAGGTTTAGTTCATTCTTTTTAAAAAATAAATTAAAATGTCTAAATATATCTAAAATTGCATGAAGTGACAGATAAAGAACATATTGACTTTAAGAGAACGATAGAAAAAATATTATTTCAAGTGAGGAGGACAC